GGCTTAGTCAGGCTGAAGATTTAGACAGTGGTTCAAAGTTCAATGTAATGAAATCCTTGCTCTCTGAAATTACTCTCCAGCTTGAGGTCTTACTTACTGTTGGCGAAGACACTGGGATCCAAAGTTGTTCTCATTTAGGCATAAACTACTATATATGTGTGTATATATGACATAGGGGCTTATAGTATTTGGGGGAAGGGCACAGAGTCAGGCTTGAGGCTCCACAGGAACAGGATCCACAGTGTCCACCCCAGGCCAGGTCCCACAAAGAAACATTGCCCCTATGGGGACACAGCCATCGCTGCCTCATGCTGGACGTGGACCCCACGCGGAGGACGGCTATCACTGCGGCGCCTGACAACTGGTGGTGGTGTGACTCCCACTCTCGACACGCTTGTCAGATACATTCTGCACCATTGCAGCCTCTCTGTGTCACCTCGTCCTGAGTAGAGTCTGACATGTGGTCACCTGAATGGTGGGGTCTCAGCTTCATGCTGTGTCCTCTGGCAAGAATGTTTGGGGAAGAGGGTTTTCCTCTTTTATGGAGGAAGGTGGTCTCTGCCTCCTACCAAGACTCTTCCAGTGTGGAATTCTCCTAATCTAGGAATGTTCCTAATCAGTTGCTGAATTGGGGAGGAATAGAAAAAGAATGTCAAATTTCAATTGTTACAGCAAAGATCTGGGACTGGATCTGGACATGGTATGTTGTAGGCAGTTGGCTGAAAGAACAAGTGGCTAATAAATGACATCCAAGGTAGAGATTTGCTTGATTACTCAAGGTTTTCTGTTTTGTTTCGTTTCCTAGAGTATAGTTGATTTGCAGTACTGTTTTACTGTCTGCTGTACAGAACAGTGAATCAGTTATGCGTATCCAGTCTTTTTTAGAGTGTTTGATTATTCATACTCTGAATTTCTTTGTGGGATGATGAAATTTTTCCTTCACCCAGCCCATGCTTAGACACCAACTGGTTGTCCTATGTTGCTGTTGTTGTTCAGTTGCTCAGTTGTGTCTGACTCTTTGCCACCCCATGGACTACAGCACACCAGGCTTCCATGTCCATCACCAACTCCCAGAACTTGTTCAGACTCATGTCCATCAAGTCGGTGATGCCCTCCAACCATCTCGTCCTCTCTTATCCCCTTTTCCTCTTGCTCTCAGTCTTTTCCATCATTAGGATCTTTTCCAATGAGTCAGCTCTTCGCATCAGATGGCCAAAGTATTGGAGCTTCAGCTTCAGGATCAGTGCTTCCAATGACTATACAGAGTTGCTGTCCTTTAGCATTGACTGGTTTGATCTCCTTGCTGTCTAAAGGACTCTCAAGAGTCTTCCTCAGCACCACAGTTTGAAAACATCAATTCTTTGGCCCTCAGTCTTCTTGATAGTTCAACTCTCACATCCATACATGATTACCAGAAAAACCAAGCTTTGACTATATGAACTTTGTCAGCAAAGTGATGTCTCTGCTTTTTAATTTCTGTCCTTTATTGTGCCCATCTTTGCATGAAATGTTCCCTTGGCATCTCCAATTTTTATAATTCAGCTCAATTCTGACACAGTCTACCTGATTACACCAGACCTCACAGGTTTAAGGGCTTATTCCCACAGACTGCCTTTACTTCACAGTTAAGTTGCAAGCATCAAGTTCCGTGTTACCTGCACTTCTGTCTGACTTGACTACAAAACTAGGAGTTCGCTCGAGTCTGATAATTTGGTGGAACAAGTCAAGGAACTCAAGGAAATGCTGTGCTTACTATTACAGTCTATAATAAATGATACAAGTGAGCAACCTGAAAAAGAGGTACAGGTCAAGTTCTGGAGGGTCCTGAGGGCAGGAGCCTGTCACCATGGAGTTGAAAAGTGCCACTCTCCCAGCACGTGGACATGTTCACCAATCCAGAAGCTCTCTGAATGCCATCATTTTAGGGTTTTTCATGAAAGTTTCATGATGTAGGCATGATTGATTCAGTTCCTCAGTTCACAGGATTCTCCAGGCAAAAATACTGGAGTGGATTGCCATGCTCTCCTCCAGGGGTTCTAACCCCCCAGAGATCAAACCCATGTCTCCTGCATTACAGGTGGTTTTTTAACCGCTGAGCCCCGGGGGGTGGGGTCCCCTTTCCCTGGTAGTACAGTGGTTAATTCTCTGAGCTTCCAAGGCAGGGAGCGCAGTTCCATCCCTGGCCTGGGAAATAAGATCCCACATGCTAGGCAGCAAGGCCGAAAAAACAAAAACAAAACCATGTTAGCCATCTACTTAAGTATTCAGAGGGAGATCAAACGGGATAAAATTTTAATAAGTGACAGAAGTACATAAAGAATAAATTGAAGTTAGAAATTAAAATATATTTTAAAATTTATTTCCACTGTAGATTTTTCCACCGCTTTTTGTCTTCTCTCTACTTTTCTTCAACCCTTCTCCTCCCTGCCGTCCACTTCCCAGTCTTAACTTTACACCCGATTCCCTGCTCATTCGGGCCCCACAGTGAACACAGGTGACTCCATCCACCTCAGACAGGCCAGGTGAGGACAGGGGAGGGGGCACTCGGTGGGCAATTTGTAAGCTGTGCCTGGACCTGCTGTTACTGTGTTCTTCAGTGAAGTCGCTCCAGTCTTTAAAGGAAGTCACACCAAGTGTAAGTTATGTTTCCAGCGGAAGAAGGCAGAACCTTGGTGGGTAGTTCCTGGTTCCTTAGATACTGATTTTTATCCAGGCCTGCGGAGCCGATTCAAACCCAACGTTTGGAGGTAGATCCTTTGCTTCCTGGGTGAAAGGGAGTCTGGAAGAAGGGTTTTTGGTTCTTAGAATCTAAGGGCGAGACCTGAGCGGGGGTGGGGGGAATGGGGGGGTGGCTGGAAGAATCATTTCCCTACTCACGAATCTCAGAATCAACCCAGACTGTGTTTAAGTAAGTCGGATTCCAGATCCCCCTGGGAACTACCAGCTCAGAATTTCCGAGGACCAGGCAGGTGTTCATCTCATCCGGCAGTTTGAGAACCAGAAATCTAACTGCAGCTCGCTCCGCTCCTAACCTGCACAGAAGTTCCTTTATTCTACATTCATATCAGTGAACAACGTTCATTTCTTTCAGCCCAAGATTTGGGGGACAGGTGATTTACAGCCCTCCCTCTGAACTCTGGCCCGGCAGAAAAAACTTCAGGGCTGCCCTGCGAAGCCCCGCCCTGGGTTTCATGAGCCTCGGAATGGATATATTCGGTTTCTCCTCCGGACCCGGCAGTGGCGACCGAGGTCTGTGGAGAGAAAGACGTCGCCGTGTGGGTGAGTCCAGGAATACAAAGGGGAGCGTGGAGGGAGAAAATGTCTTTTATGGGCCAGAGCAGAACGGGCTGGGAGCGAGAGGGGAAAGACACCTCTGGGGGGTTTTGAGGTGGAGTGGGGAGGAGACCTTTGTGTCTTCGTACAAAGACAACCTGGGAGGCTTGGTGGGTGAGGGGAGGCAGCCACTTCTAGATCCTCGGGAGCACCCATTCCCCTGAGCCGTATACCACCAAGGGCATCTTCCACACCCAGAATGAGCAGGATTAGCTTTATCCTAATTAGTCATGCTAAAGGTTCTGCAACAAACCTAGCCTATTAGTATGGAAGCGTTAGAAGTCTTTGGGGGAGGGTAGGGGTGAGCTGAATGAGACATTTTGCTGAATTTGCACACCTAAGACCTCTCTATGGGACTTTCCTGGCGGCTTAGTACACAGTGCTGTGGGTATGTGAACTCAGACAAGGTGGTTTTAGTCGCTAAGTCGCGTCCAACTCTTCTGACTCCATGGGCTGTAGCCTGCCAGGCTCCTCTGTCCATGGGATTTTCCAGGCAAGAATACTGAAGTGGGTTGCCATTTCCTTCTCCAGGGGATCTTCCTGACCCAGGGATCGAACCTGGGCCTTCTGCATTGCAGGCAGACTTTTTTTTGCCTACTGAGCCACCAGGGAAGCCTGAACTCAGACATATAGAGATGTTATTGAACAAATTTTGTCTGAAAAAAATAACAAACATGATGAGTGGGGAAAAAACATGTTTATTGCTTATTCATATAATTTTTAGTGTCCGGTGAAACTTGTAAGGTTGTGAAGAGGTTTTCCACATGAAAAATCTAGCAGATGAGTACATGTGACCCTAGTAAAATTTAAAGCATACAAGCATACAAACACAAGATTTGTCCAGGAACTTAAAATACTCATTAAACAAGTATTCAGGGATTTCCCTGGTGGCCCAGTGGCTAGGAATCCGAGCTCTCACTGCCAAGGGCCCAGGTTCTATCCTTGGTTGGGAAACTAAGATTCCATGAGTCGTGTGGCAAAAAACATTAAAAAAAAAAAAAACCTAAGTGTTCAGGTGCTGGTCCTGCAGCTCTGTGGCAAGCCGCAGAGTCGGGGTTCTGTTCCGCAGGGTGGGGTTTGTTAAAGTTATGAAGAACAAGGCCTCTTTCAAGAGACATCAAGTGAAATTCAGAAGACAACGAGAGGACAAAACTGGCTACTATGCTTGGAAATGATCGGTAATCCAAGATGAAAATAAGTACAACACACCTAAATACAGAATGGTCGTTTGTGTAATGAACAGAGATATCATTTGTCAGATTGCTTATGCCCATGTAGAAGGAGATGTGATAGTTTGTGCAGCTTATGCTCATGAACTGCCAAAATATGGTGTGAAGGTTGGTCTGACAAATTATGCTGCAGCATATTGTACTGGCCTGCTGCTGGCCTGCAGGCTTCTTAATAGGTTTGGTACTGACAAAATTTATGAAGGCCAAGTCGAGGTGACTGGAGATGAATATAATGTGGAAAGCATTGATGGTCAACCTGGTGCCTTCACCTGTTACTTGGATGCAGGACTTGCCAGAACTATTACTGGGAATAAAGTTTTTGGTGCCCTAAAGGGAACTGTCGATGGAGGCTTGTCTATCCCTCACAGTACCAAACAGTTCCCTGGTTATGATTCAGAAAGCAAAAAATTCAGTGCTGAGGTACACTGAAAGCACATCATGGGGCAGAATGTTGCAGATTACATGTGTTACTTGATTGAAGAAGATGAGGGTGCTTACAAGAAACAGTTCTCTCAGTACACAAAGAACAACGTAACTCCAGACATGATGGAGGAGATGTATAAGAAAGCTCATGCTGCAGTACGAGAGAATCCAGTGTATGAGAAGCAGCTTAAGGAAGAAGTTAAAAAGAAGAGGTTGAACCGTCCCAAAATGTCACTTGCCCAGAAAAAAGATCGGGTAGCTCAGAAGAAGGCAAGCTTCCTTAGAGCTCAGGAATGGGCTGCTGAGAGTTAAAAGAGTTAAAAGTTAAAAGTTTTAAGTTGAGTCACTCAGTTGTGTCCGACTCTTTGTGACCCCATGGACTGTAGCCTACCAAGCTCCTCTGTCCATGGGATTTTCCAGGCAAGAATACTGGAGTGGGTTGCCATTTCCTTCTCCAGAGGATCTCCCCAACCCAAGGATAGAACCCGGGTCTCCCACATTGTAGGCAGATGCTTTACCGTATGAGCCACCAATTTTCTATCAAGATTTTTCAGATACAGACGATCATGAACTTATTGAACAAGAAAAACAAACAAGTATTCAATGGGATAAGCACTCCTGGGGCCTGCCAGACTCCTCCATCCATGGCATTTTCCAGGCAAGAATTGGAGTGGGTTGCCAGCTTAAAGAGCAGGTTAGCACAGGGCTACAACTTATCTGGGGAGAACTCGAGGGGAGTTACAGTCCCTTTACCCAGCAGGGTAACACCCTCACGTGCTAGTAGAATTTGTGGGTACCATTCCCATTCGGGATTCCCTGGTGGCTCAGATGGTAAACAGTCTGCCTGCAATGCAGGAGACCTAAGTTCAATTCCTGGGTGGGAAGGATCCCCTGGAGAAGGGAATGGCAACCCAATCCAGTATTCGTGCCTGGAAAATGCCATGGATGAAGGAGCCTGGCAGGCTACAGCCCATAGGGTCACAAAGAGTCAGATGTGCCTGAGGGACTACACTTTAACCCCCATTTACCTCCGTGACAGTGGTCTCTAGGCCTACACTCTGATACATACTCCACGAAATGAACACAGGTCCTTTTATGTGATTGTCCAGCCTGTGATCATCCATCCTGATTAATGGAGACCTCACCACCTTCTGGTTTTGGAGATTGTTCTTCTTCATGAATATCTGTAGCTACTTCCTCTCCCTTCCACCGAGCCATGACCTATGAGGTCATATATGAATAGAATAAGCCTAATGTCTGCAGGCTACAGTCCATGGAGTCACAAGAGTCGAACACGACTTGGTGATTAAACCACCGCCAATGTCTGTCATTTTTCCAACATTTATTCTTACAATTGAAGACATGCATCTTGGCTTTTATTTCACAGAGTCTGTATAATCTCAACATCCTAATTGTTCTTTGTGGGTTCTGAACCACTTGTGGCGCATCACTTACATTTCCAGTTATTCTCACAGAACACATCACTTGGGGTCTTTGCTCTCTGGCTTCCGGCTGGGTTTGTCCTTAGGAGGCACTGCAGGGACCATCATGTGGGAGGAGAGGATTCAAGGCATGGATGCCCCACACTTACCTCCAGGGCTGCGCAACAGTAATCCCTGCATTCCTCTATCTACAATGGTAACATTTGTTCAGTGACCCCTCTAGGAGGCTACAGCTCTGCTGGGATCTAGAAACAAATGCCTTCTGCTGTCCCTTCAGTCTAGAGGTAGTAATAGCTTCCTGCTATTTCTAGTTCGAGGGGGCTCTGCCTCCTATTGCTGTTAGCTGCTGGCACCTCTATAAATAGCCTGGTCACTAAATTCTCTCCAGTTAGCTCCTTGATTCTTCCTTCTGTGTCCTTCTTTAGGACATACCATATTTCAGACACTCAAAGGTATAGATTATCAACAAGAATTAACACATATTATAATATTCACACACCCTCCTAATGTCAAATTTGGCTTACTGTAATATAGTGCATGGAGAAGTGCTCTGGTAATCGAGTCAGAAGGAAAACAAGGCAGAAACAGTTTGGTTATTAATGTGTGAAATTCAGAGACTCAATGAGCGGCTGCTGCCCTGCCTATAAATTACTGCCCCCACACCCCAGTTTCTTCAGAAGAGGAGAGAGAAAGAAAAACATGGATGGAGCAGTGCCTCCAAATTTCAGAGGGAAGAATTCTGGCATAAAATTCTTCACCCAGCCAAACTATTCATCAAACCAAAGAATAATACACTTTTGGACTTCCCTGATGGTCCAGTGGTTAAGAATTCACCTGCCAGTGCAGGGGACACGGGCTCATTCCCTAATCTGGGAAGGTTCCACATGCTATAGGGCAGCTGAGCCCGTGCATCGCAACTACTGAACCTGTGTGTCCTAGAGCCTGTGCGACAAAAGAAACCATAGCAATGAAAAGCCCGCATGCCGCAAGAAGAGAATGCTCACGCCAGGCAATGAAGACCCTGCACAACCAACAATTAATTAATTAATATTTTTTAAAGAATTAAAAAAAAAATAAGCAAAGCGCTGTTCAGAGGGTGGTAAAGGGAAGATCCTAGGAGGGTGGCTGTCGTCCAGATGCAGAATAATCCAGTCTAGGTGGGGGCATGTCAGAAAGGCCCAGGAGGATATTTCCAAAAAGCAAAAACTGATAGAATACCCAAAGTACCCCCACTTCTTTAAAGAGTCATACAGATAGAAGAATCATCAGAGTTCTATTAGTGAGAGCTACATAGAACATAATGAGTCAAAAACAAAGGCAATATTATCAATTCAGAGAGAATAAGATGTTGTGAAGAAAGTGAGAAGTAGTAGAGTTTACATGTGAGTATAATAGGCACTGGAAAGAAAAAGCTGAATGAACTAAATATGATTGTTATACAAATAAACTGGGAAAGTGAAGGAATGTAAAGAGTGCAAGAAAGCAATGACTATCAGCTATTGCATCAGCCATTGAGTAATGCAGGAGAGTGGTTGTGACCGAAGAGTCAAAGGCATCATGTTTAGAGATTTGGATGTAAAGCCAAAAAAAAATCAGCTAAATATATTGAAGGTGGTTGCCAATGGGAAGACAGAAATTTAAAACAGAGAGGATTACAATAATAGTCTATTTTATGAGAAACTATGCACAGATATTTGACTCCTTAATTTATTGGTAATAATTTAATTATTATCCATGTATTCTAAGAGAACAAAAATAAAGTTAATGATAGTGTGGCACAGCTGCAACCACCTCAAATATGTTAATATTTTAAAAGGTCTAAACCACAACTGGAAATAAACACGGTTTTTGTCATTTCATAGATGAAGAAACTGAAACATCAAGAGGGAAAGGGATATGTTGTAAATAAACTACACCTTCAAAAATAATAACAAAAAATAAAATAAAAATTAAAAATAAAATAAAAATAAAGTAATTTTCAAATAATAAAATAAGTAACAGAACACACACAAAAGGAGAAGTCCCAGTGTTGCAGGAAGGGGAACCCCTTCCAGGGCCCGAAACTGGGCTCTTGTCTAACACTCAGAAATGAACTGTCCGAGGAGACACATCTGTTGACAAAGCAAGAGATTTTATTGGGAAAGGGCACCCGGGTGGAGAGCAGTAGGGTCAGGGAACCCAGGAGAACAGCTCTGCCACATGGCTCAACTCTTGGGTTTTATGGTGATGGGATTAGTTTCCGGGTTGTCTTTAGCCAATCCTTCTGACTCAGAGTCCTTCCTGGTGGTGCACACCTTATTCAGCCAAGATGGATGCCAGAGAGAAGGATTCTGGGAGGTGGTTGGACATGTGGTGTCTCCTTTTGACCTTTCCTGAACTCTTCCGATTGGTGGTAAGCTTATTAGTTCCATGTTCCTTACCAGGACCTCCTGTTGCAAAACAACTCATGCAAATGGTTACGATGGTGCCTGGCCAGGGTGGGCGGTTTCAGTCAGTGTGATTCCCCTAACAACTCCCCGCTGAGAGACTTCATACTCAAGATACTTCTTGGGAAATGGGGTGGAGGTCTGTTTCTTCTGTAACTTCTTCCTGTTGTGCATGGTCAAGGCCTGCCTAGCAGAGCAGAAGTCTCTCTCTACCTGATCTAAGTCAAGGTATTTTTTTGCCTGAAACCAGCATCCACTCTTGTAATAACAGCAATTTAGTTTGAAACTGTTGGCTCCTCTCAGAGATGAAATAGACAGGGGCCAAACAAGAGACCTAACAGGATGATCATCACAGAAGGCTGGAAACAGAAGGCAACATTTAGGGTGAGGTCTGCAAGGTTTGTGACCTTTTTTGATTGGTTGCTGGTGAGGCAACAGAGCTGTGCTCCGGGAATCTTGTGTTCAGTCTGAAGTTACCATCCTCCACCTGGGTGGAGGCTCCAGTTCTGTAGAAGAACTCAAAGACATTGTTATACATATTTTTTTCTGAGTAGGAACCAGGACCCTGTCTCAAGGCTGTACCACCATTTGATTGTTTCTCCTCTGTTTCTATATCCCCTCCCTTCCCTGATTAGCAACTGTTTGAATCCACCCTTTTGAATGCAGGAAAGATCAAGGAGGCTGAATGAAGCCTATATCCTACAGACAAGAAATGGAGAACACAGAACAGATTTGTACTCCAGAGCCCCACAAAGTCCTGCTCAGTTTTAATTTAGGGAACTAGGCAACTATAACTGTGATAATTTCCTGTCAAAATGGGACTGCCTCAGCTTGGAGAATAGACACTAAATTGGAAGTATTCCTGAGTTCCAAGTCCTAGATCTGAGTCTCGTATGATTAAAACCTCGATCCCTTGGTCTGCCATTTTGGTGTAACAGACTTAATTAGAAGAAGTTAGAGGAGTGATAACTGGAATTTTAATAGACAAAATAAATCTCATTTCTTCTTAGAAGCATAGGCCTGAAACCCAGTCTGGATTTGGCACATCGGGGAGACTTGTAGCCAGGTAGCCAGTTGCCTAATCTTATAAAAAGTAAGGTTGCAGTTACTAGCTTCCAGCAGACATTGTTTTGAGAATGGTGGCATCCATGCTTGACACGACTCAGAAAACTCAAGTGTTTAGCAATACAAGGTCTAGTCTGAAATTACACCCATACTATCACCTAGTTGTGAGAGGGTGTCAGAGGGCAGACACACTGAAACCACAATCACAGAAAACTAGCCAATCTGCTCACAGGACCACAGCTTGTCTAACTCAATGAGACTAAGCCATGCCATGTGGGGCACCCAAGACGGACGGGTCATGGCAGAGAGGTCTGACAGAATGTGATCCACTGGAGAAGGGACTGACAAACCACTGCAGTATTCTTGCCTTGAGAACCCC